GTAAAAAATGAGTAATATAACCTTAGTAAAGACCCATGAATTTCAATTCAACATTCTGTTAGTTCTGGTTGGGCTGTATCATTATTCTATAATTTGGTTGTGGGGTGGGGGCGGGGGAATTGATGTTGGAAGACAATCTGTGAAGTGTAAAATTTGGAAAAAGTTCTGAACTTGAGCAAGAGAGGAAGAAAATTAATTGTTTATTTTGCTTCTTTAGCGATATTTACATTGATAATTTGCTATCTTGTATGCCATCATTTTGCAGCTCCACATTTTCAAAAGCAGCTGCCGTTGCATTCTTCGTCACAGTTGCAGATGTTGGCCTTTACGCTTCTTTAAATGTATGATTCTTTCATTGTATTACATGAATTTCAAAGCCGTTTAATGCTCGAGACTGGAGCAACATGCAAACAACTGTATATTTGCTTGCTAATAAAATTGAAATTTGAAGCTTAGAAATAATTCGATCAGGTTTAAATATGAAAGATGTCATGTGTCTCTACTTTGACCAGTTTCTGATCATTTGTTAATGGATGTCTTCATTTCGAGTCTGGATTGCATGACGTTTTAAGTGGTACACTTGAGAGAGGTTTTACGTATTATGTATTCTGTTTTTTTAGCTCCAGCATGATAATATTATATTATGTAAAGTCAGAAATGGATTTATAATGGCTTGTTTTTCGTTTAATCACTATGCAGTACTACTTAAAGGCTCAATTTCACTTCAACAAAGATGAATTCGCTGATCTGATGATAATTGCTGGGATAGCAGGGTCAATATCACAGGTAATTAGCCTTCCTTGCAGTAGTATGAGATGTTATGTACGTATATTCAAGTTCTTACATAAATTTCATGTTCATGTTTGGTTTTGAACTCTTGCAGTTGATTATCATGCCCATATTAACTCCTCTATTGGGAGAAGAGAAGATGCTTTCAATAGGGCTCCTTTTCAGCTGTGCTCATGTAAATACATTGCCATTTGCTATCTGATTTAGCTTTTTATGATTTGAAAATCTCAGTGCTTGATGCTCTTGCATGCAATATTCAAATATTAATTCTTCAAAATAAAGATTACAACTTGTATGTTGGATTGTGTGGAGCCTAATATTGCTATATACTTTTCCCCTCAAATGTGGATCAGCCTAATATTCATATCATATATAAAGTTTAGCGTAGAAAAGACCGAGAGGCTTGTGAAAAACCTTGTATGTTGGCTGTGTGGAGCTTAATTTTAGTGTATACTTTTTCCCTTGAAAATGGATTGGCCTAATATTCCTATATTATATGTTAAGATTTGAGGTTCCATTTTAAAATGTCAACCTTATCAAGAGGAGTAACTTAAGATCTTATAAGTTGCTCTATGTTTTTATGTTTATCGATATGAGATTTATCCTTAACGTGCTCCGCAAGATGGTGGCTCGTTTGAACAGATCAATCTTGAAATCCGTATGCTCATTTTTTAAATTTTAATCGGATTGAATTGCTTGTTAGGACTTAATGGGCTTTGATACTATGTTAAAACTTGGGGTCTATCTTAAAAGGTCAATTTTCTTAAGAGGAGTAACTTAAAACCTTATAAATTGGTCTATGCTTTCATCTTTATTCGATGTAAGATATATCCCTTAACAATATATAAAGGGTTTTAAGGGCTTCTCATTTTCTCTGGAAAAGAAAACCTCAAATGGAACATCCAGTAATGCTCACGATTCTAAATTTGCAGGTTCCTTATGCTGCAGCCATGATCTCTGTTGTGGCTACTTTTGCAATGCCATGTGTAAGCTCTTTGTTTATTGTAGCAAAGTTCTTCAGCGTGGATGGTAATTTTAACTGCACATCGCATTTTGCAGTTAAGGAGCATTGCTTCCAAACAAATTGGACCCAATGAACAGGTGAATTTGGAAATATCACTAATTTGTTATCTTGATATATGCTGTGCTTCATGCTCTATGGGTGTTGCTCTCGTAAATGGTGAACGTGTGTCAAAAGATCAACATAGTCATACTAAAATAGATAAGATTAGAACCAAAATATAGGCCATTAAATGGAGGTAGTGCTGATTGAGGATAAATTGAGGCAAAAATGGCTCAGGTAGCTGGGACATGTTTTATGCTAAACTAAAGAGGCTCCGGTTTATGTGAGTGACATGATTGCAGTACGACACATCAAAACAGGAAGGAGTTGATCAAAACAAAGTACCACGCATCAAAAGAGGAAGGAGTTGATCAAAATAAACATAGTTTGTTGCAGTCGTTGAGCATCTTGTTACTTTAGATTTTCTAGTAGATTTAGCAATAAACTGAATGAGTGCCGACTCATTGGACAACCCAAATTTGTTGGGAACAAGGTTTAGTTTGTTGTTGTATTATTGAATGCACAGAAACTATTACTTGTGAATTGTATTGCAAAATTTTTCTTTGAATGCTTTATGACATTGTTTTTCCTTTCAGGGAAAGGCTCAAGGGTGCATTACAGGCATATGTTCCTTTGCCAATATTGTTTCTCCACTTGCTTTCAGCCCTTTAACAGGTAAGTAAAACTGTTGTTTACGAAGTGCAATCAAAGCCTCAAACTCATTTTAATCTGATAATTTGCTATTTTTCTTTTCCTTCAGCTTTGTTCTTATCAGATGGTGCACCATTCCATTTTCCAGGATTCAGTATTATGTGCTCTGGCTTTGCTGCAGTAAGTGTTTTTTCATATAGATACTCAGATGTGAATTATTTTCCTTGTTTCTTTTAATACATAGATGACATGTTTAGTACCCCCAATAGTGGACGGCAGTGTACATGAAGAGGTGAGGTTTTTTTTTATTTTTTCCTTTGATAATCTATCTATTAGTGTGAGCATAACGAACATAAAGAAAAGTGCATGTTTGCTACATATTGCTAGATGGTATTGGACAATAAACAAAATTTTAGATTATTGTTTTAATTTAATGCTGTCATTATTGTCTAATCCATCTTACCAAACAATCATGAGGGGTAGTTTTCATTCACTAGGAGAATAAATTGCAATGGAGAATCATGGAAAAGAACTCAGTTTCTTTCTCAATTCTAACAATGATCGAGTGTAGTTGGCATTTTCTATGTGCCATATTCTTGATATTTTTAAACAAAGGGGAAATCTACTAAACAATTTTGACTGGATGAATCTTGTAGATGGAATAATTAATTCGTAGTTCTTTAGTTCTAGTGGTGAAACTGTATACTTTTCCCATCATATTACCTGTGCTACTACCTCCTTGAGAAAGTTCTTGAGAGGGTTGGTTGGTCCGAAAATTTATGTTTGTATCTTTTGTTTCGAGAAAGCACTACCAACTTATTATGTAGTACATCTTTGTGAGACGAAAGTTAAATACTACTACTTTCAACGTTATTTAACTTATTAAATAGATTATAGAAAAGATTAATAGATTTCCAGAGCATGGTTTCCCTAAAAAATGTACGGGGCCACCTGGCAGGTGAAAAGCACGGGCCCAGGCATGGACCTTCTGTGTTGGTCTGTATATGGTCAGCAGTCCCATTGCTGTAGTGAGGGCATGACCTAGATATGGAGGTTTTTATTCCGAGTTGATTGTGACTGCATTGTCAATATCCAAATGGAACCTCTTGACTGAAGAAAAGAGTACTCATAGAACCAGTCATTAGGAAAAAACTTCATCCCATGAACATTGTAGGCATGAATTGAACAGTGATTGTCCAACTCCTTATGTATGAAACCATGGAACCTCTTTGATAACTTATTCTGCCGGTCCATGCAGACCTCTATTTAAAAATAAAGAAAATTATGCAAAAAAGTAAATGCCCATACAGCCATACGCCCAACATGCCTACAAAAGGGGCCCGGCCATCTTGAAACTGGCATGATCCTGACTCGATTTACACCTCTAGTTGTGCATAATTGGGGAGGGGGGT